CGCCTACAACAACTCGGGCATCCGGACGCCCAACCTGGACGCACTGGCCCGGCGCAGTGTGGTTTTCCAGAACGCCTTCACCTCCGCCAGCAGCTGCTCCCCGAGCCGGGCCAGCATCCTCACCGGCTTACCCCAGGTGGGGCACCCACACCGGGGTCCCGGCACAGCAGGGATGACCAGAGCCAGCACTGTGCCCGTGGCCGCTGACACCCCCCCTTCCCAGCTCCCTGGAACCTGCTCCCCATGCACACAGACACAGTGCACACCTGGGCTCGTTTTGGGGCCAGGCCAGGAGGCACCATCTAACTCCGTTGTGTCCCCTGCCCACAGCACCAGAATGGGATGTATGGGCTGCACCAGGATGTGCACCACTTCAACTCCTTCGACAGCGTGCGCAGCCTGCCCCTGCTGCTCAGCCAAGCACGTGTCCGGACAGGTAGGGACAGGGAGCAAGTGACAGACACCAACGACCTGAGCCCATGCTCTGTGCTGAGCCCCGGATTTTGCTTCGCTTCCCCCCGCTTCGCTGCTTTTTTACCACCCTCATCACACCTCACCTTCTCTTCTCTTCCTCATCCTTCTCCTTCCTGGTTCCCAGCTTCACCCAGGGCTCATGCTTGACCCAAACTGCCGCTAATACCCACGCCTGTGACCTGGGGCAGCATGGTCCCGGGGGGGTCCCCTTTTCCAAGCAGATGAGCTGCAGCAGCCGGTGTCCTCCCCTGGCTCCCGGCACGCCCCGCGGCTGGGTCTTGCAGGCATAATTGGGAAGAAGCACGTTGGGCCTGAGGCCGTCTATCCCTTCGACTTCGCCTACACCGAGGAGAACAGTTCAGTCTTGCAGGTCGGGAGAAACATCACACGAATCAAAGCGCTCGTCCGGCGGTTCCTGCAGAGCCAGGATGAGAGGTGACGGGCTCTGTGTCCCCGGGACAGGCATGGGAGAGGGGAGGGAAACAGGGGAGAGGGAAACTGGCTTTGCTGAAGACGTGTCTACATCCCAGTGGTCACGAATAGGAAGGGACACATGGTCTCTGGGTCACCCCATATCCAGAAGCTCACATGAGGGGGGAGTCCTCCTGCCAACCCCAGCTCCACCCTGTACAGCCCAGGGAAGGTCTCGGGGGTGCGGGCAGCCCTTTGCCTCCACCTCCACCCTTTCATCTCTAGGCCTTTCTTCCTCTACGTGGCCTTCCATGACCCGCACCGCTGCGGGCACTCCCAGCCCCAGTACGGGGCCTTCTGTGAGAAATTCGGCAATGGAGAGAGCGGCATGGGCTGGATTCCTGACTGGAAGCCACAGCTCTACCACCCAGAGCAAGTGCAGGTGGGATCCTGCGGGGCTGCACGGGGCTGCACGGGGCTG